TGTTTATTTTCTAGGCATTGTGCTACTGGCAGAAGGAAGGAATTTCGGGAACTGTGACACTGACTTTGAGGGAAACACAACCCTGATCCACTACTGTCCAGTCCCTCCCGAAGAGCAACTTAGACATCTGTTTGACAGAGGCAGCCACAGCGTCCTGTAACCTGTTCCCTCCTCCTGGCTCCATGAGCACTGTCTGTCCATTACACTGGCTTTAGTCCTTCCAACTGTAAAGGCCTTTTTGAGAAACCAACAGGTGAGAAAACAATTCTCTTCAAAACTGCAAAGGAGCAAGAGCTATAAATGTTTTTAAAAACTCAGCGTCCACATCAAGGACTGCTGTGCTTGTGTTAAGATGTATCATCAAAAAAATATAAATTATCTAAGTTTAGATGTTCATTAATAAGACTTAAATTGAGTTCCATGGCGATGAATGGTTATCAAAGTTTTAAAAATACAAAAATGGTTACCTGAAGAATAGATACCTATATATTTTTAAGTTGTAGCTAAATGACTTGCTCATTACGTTCCTCAAAGTCTTCCAAAAGACAACAGGAAGTAGTTCTTACTTTTCTCCTAAAACTTGGAACTAAATTTTTTTATTTATGCAAATCCTTTTCTATGCATGTTTTAAAAGATGGAAGCTCCACAATCACCTTGTTGCTTTCTTTCCACTGGACTCAGGGCAGTGGAGGAAAGGCATTAGGAACTTCAGGAGTGTCTTCTGTGTGTAGAACACTATATAAGGTGCCACACAGATCTAGATTTTATTGAAATAAAACCCCAGGGCTAAAAGGTAGGTGTGATAGGCCCTACTTAACAGTGAGATTACCAAGATGCATGGATACTAAACCATTCGTCTGAAACTCTATTTGCCACATGGCATAGCAGCTTTGTGATATCAATGTCAAGGCTCTCTCCAGCACCCCATGCTGCCAGTGATACGCTTTGTAAAGAAAGACAATTACTCTCTCACGCATACCCCTGGTTATAGTAATAGTCACTCTCCTTCTAAGTCACTTCTGACTCTGATTACCTTACACTTAAAAGATCTCCTAAGTGTATGTTTTCATTGTGTAAGCAACTTCAACTCACTTTGATAAGAAAATAATTAGAAATAAAATGGAAAATGAAAATTAGAAGGAAGAGACGAAAGGAGGAGAGGAGAAAGGAAGGCAAACATTTAAGGGTGGCTCTCTCCAAGATATTAGATAAGGGAATTCTCTATGATAAAATTGGAATACTTATCATTCGGGAAAGAGAAATTTTTTTTTAGTAATTGTTAACAGGTTCTGATCCCTGTAAGAATTTTACTGGCCCAATGGTCACCTAGAAACATAGAGATCTTTATATAGTGTATTCTTTGGTCATTCTCATTAAAACCAGACCCTAGATTTCTTCATGATTGAACAGGGACGAGCGTGTGCTCTTAAACTCGATCGTGGATTACAACCTATGGACAAATAAAGGTTAATACTAAATTCAAAAGGTTTATGCCAAATGCTGTGTAACTCTGACTGACTTCTAAACATTCCTGCAGCCATTGTTCCCCAATGTTCTACTTTTGATATTTCGCCAATGCTTTTTTAACATGGTTATTGCTAATATTCTCGTCTTCTTTGCCAGACATTCAAACATGATGGTTCTTCAAACAATAGAATCAAGTATTTCCCTGTCCTTTAGACTGGTCAAGGTGAGACCTCCAGCTAGGCAGTCAGGGTCCCTCCTCAGCTCGAAGCAGCTATAGATGACGAACTTCAGCTCCTCTGCACCCCTTTGTTAAAAACAGAAGATCAAATCTTGAGGGTGAAATAAGGTAAGAATAGAAAACAAAACATAAAGATAGGTAAAAAAGAAATAAGGAAAATCATTATTGAAACTTTTAAGACTGCAACTTGAGAACACTATATATGTATTCAAAAAATTAGAACAATTAGCTATAACTATGCCAGGCATACAGTAAGCACTCAGCATATATTTGAGGAATAAAACGGAACCCCTTGTTTACTGTGTAACCTTGCTCAGAATGTCACTATGTGATACCATAAGTATTGACATGTCATTTTCATTTTATTCATTCTCCAGGGAAATTTAATTTCTTCTAACTACATGCTTAGTTTAACTATAACACATTGTGAAGTCTCCGTCTTGCAGCCTCCAGTTCAACTGGAAAATTAAGCTTCCCCTGGGACTATTTATGATTCCTAGTCTGCCATATTTTTAAAAATTCCCTATGGGAAATTTTATTAGTATCTCTTTTAAGGCCTAACAAAATGTGGCTCTTTATACGCATTTTCTTCTTTGCTTCTGGGCTTTCCCTGTCAAAATGGCCCTTAAAATCCCACACAGTTGTTATGCTTCTGTAACTCAGGGCATTCCCTTCAGCAGCTGGGAAGATGACTGTGATGAGGGGTTCTTTCCGCTTAGCACCTCCGTTTCCCCACACAGTGCTCTTGAACCAGTAATGCTTCCCTGATCCTTGTTCTTTCTTTCATTTTCCTTTGTTAAACCTTATTTAGTCTCAGCTTGTTACAATGCTTTCTCAGAGGCAGCAATGAAACAATTACTGTTAATCTAAATGTGACTCAGAAATCAAATTGCCTATGTAATGCACGCACACTGTAGTAGAAGACCTTACCCTGCGATCCACTGGCATTTTGGGGCAAAGAAGAATGTAGCAACTGTTCAAGGAAACAGACACAGAAATTGGTAAGCCAATTTTAACTGTAAGAAGAATAGCAAATGGTAGGAAAGAAGGGATAACTGGATACATGAAAAATGAAAGGGAAGGGGCTGGGGATTTAGCTCAGCGGCAAAGTGCCTGCCTGGCAAGCGCAAGGTCGTGAGTTCAGTTCCCGGTACCGGAGAAAAACCAAAAAAAAAAAAAGAAAAATGAAAGGGAACGTATTGGTGTTTGATGTTAAAAAATGAGAAATGAAAAATTCCATTTCTGATCAGAAGTTTTTTCTCTATAGTAAATAAATAGGAAATTAGAGAAACTGAAGGTAAAACTGAGGATAATATTAAACATTGCTTTTGTCCTAAATATACAGTATTCCTTTAAAAATGCTAATCCCTCGTATTTATATTTAGCCAAAGCTTTCTAACGTTAAACCTACCCCAAACTTCCAAAGAAATGAGCCTTGAAGCACCAAATGAACCTAGTAAAATAAAAATAAACACACACACATCAGATGAGGAAAGTCCAATTCCTGAACCATCACACTCCACCACACTAGGCAATCTTGCTCTCTGAAGTAAATCTGAACTGCCATTAATCATTTTTCTTTCACTCTCACGGTAGCACAAACTGATTGAAAGAAGCAGCTCTGCTTGCCTGTAGATGTGAGGAGACACAGTGTTAGATTCAGCTTCTCAGCTGTTTCTTTTTCTTTGTACCGGGAATCGAACTCAGGGCCTTGGGCTTGCCAGGCAGGCACTGTGCCATTGAGCTACATCCCCGGCCCTGCTCAGCTGTTTCTTAATGGAGAATTAACTTCAAAACATTGGAGTATTTAAATTCTTACTCTAAAGTTCGCCAACACTCTTAATGGCCTTGTGAGAAATGGAAATCTAATTTTAAAATGGAGAGCAGGTGAAGGCTATATTTTAATATTCTTAAAACCAAGATTCACCTCTTCAATCCCTTTATTATCTGCCTTACCTTTAAAAAAACTAAGTAAAAAAGCATTTTAGAAGCACACAGGGCTTGCATTAGAGCTTTTATTTAATGAATTTAGAGACTTCCATAAAGAAAGACAAGCACAGCTATACATTAGCAGGAGGAAATGAAAATGAAACACACTGCTTGTTCAGGTTGAGTCAGCATCGATGTGGCGTATAATCACACCTCAAAACAACCAGCAAAAGGACAATTAGTCATTAGATCACTGTGCTTCTTCAAGGCATGGCAAAGAAAAAAATTATCCTTGATAAAAAAGAGGGTCCTAATTCTTCCGTTCCTCAAGGTACTAAAATGACTCAGTATCAATGACTCAAAAACTACTCAGAAGAGGAAAGAAATCATGCTGCATGTCCTAAGACAATAAGCAACAAAATAGCGGAAGGGTTTCACATTGATGGAAATTACTGGTACGACTTCAAGAACAATTTTAAATACAAATGGGGAAAAGAGGAAGTAACACTTAAAAACATATATCCTAAAAAAGCTAAGTACTTTACATGTTTCCCTAAACTTTCACAATGAATATAAAGAGTATAATTACCTCACAGTTTCCTAGGTTAAAAAGAAAAAAAAACTTGAAACTGGGAGTGGTGGCCCATGACTGTGATCCTAGCACTCTGAGAGGCTGAGGCAGAAGGACTACAAGCCTGGGCAACTTAGTAACTTAGTGAGACCCGGTCTCAAAATTAAAAATAAATAAAGGACCGGAGATATAGGTGAGTGCCAAGGTCCTGGCTTCCATCCCTGGGACACTGGGACACACACACACACACACACACACACACACACACACACAAATATGTTCAAGGTAAAAGTTTTAAGCCATCAAGCTGGTATCTGTATTCATTAATAATATTTATCATCTTTTCACCATACGTTCACTATACGTAGTGCATTTCTTTCAACAGTTATTTACTAAATATGTAGTTCATTTCAATCAACAATTATTTACCAATTATCTATTTTTCATCCATCTTGTGATGATGAAAATAATGGAAACTGCTTCTGTCCTCAGGGAACTTAGCAATTAATTAAAGAATGCCAATCCCTGACTAAGACAATACCATACTATGAAACCCACACATTCTACAGAATTTAATAACAGGCTGGTGGGGCAGGGCAGGAGGGAAGGAGCACCTTACTCAGGGAGATTTCTGGGGAAAGTTACTACAGCTGAAGCGCGCGTACCGGGAGCGCCGAGGAAGCACTGTGTAAGAGCACTGGGTCGCGTGGGCCAGGGAGAACGCTGGGAAACAGCAGGTGTCGGTGAAGAAGGCGGTGAAGAAGAAAGAAGAACACTAGGAAATCGGGCAAGGAATACACTGCAATGGGCTTTTAATTCAGCTCATTTTAAGAATTTTACACTTTCTATTAAGAATTTATGAGATATTATGGACATGTTTTAAGCAAGTGGTAACATGGCCAGATTTGAATTTTCTAAACATCTGTGTTAGCAGAATAAATTGTACAACATGAAAGAGAAAAGTGGGGAAATGAGACACATGCTGCAGCAGAGCGGTGGCTTGAAGGAAGAACAGTGCGCAGGAATGCAGAAAATGCACTGAGAAGCAAGACGCCAAGGAAAGAGGCCAGTGGACACTGCTGAACTACACGCAGGATGCGATGGATAGAGACACACTGAAGGCAGTTCAGGGTACTGGTCGAAAAACTGGTCAGATGGCGGTGCTATGAACTGTAAAGAGAAAGAGGAGCATATGGCACAATTTCACATTAATAACATTGTCACTATTAATGATAACTGTTGAACTCTTACTGTGTCAGAAGCTAAGTGCTACATACACTTTATGATATAGTTATTATATATGTATCTTATTATATATGTAAACTTTCTCATGATACTATAATACTACCTCTGAAGTAGTTGTTGTTTGAGGTGCTTCTGATGTACTGATACAGGGTCTTAGGATATATCCCAGACCGGTGTCAAACTCAACAGTCCTCCTAAGCCAATTTCCCAGAGTGCACAACCTACCGGTGTGAGGCACCAGGGCTGGTTATAGTCATTATCCCAATTTTATAGGTACAAAAATTAAGAACTGGAAAGTTCAGTAACCTGATCAATTTCATACAGCTGCTATGTGCTGATGGGAACTAGACAAGACGAGAGAAAAACTATTAGTGAGAAATTAAATGCTAATACTTGGGAAAAGATAGCTCAAAGCACGGCTGAGTCTCCCCTTAGTGGTCTGAAAGTTATATAGAGACATCGTAGTGAATCTATTCTTACATAAGGACAGTGGCAAGGATAATCCACCTCTTTGCAAGAAAAAGAGCAAGGTCACATTGAGAATGACAGAACAAGAGTAGGAAATCAGGTAGGAACTGATAAACACAGGCTGACTTTGGAGGCAAGGGAAAGAATGTGAAGACTCCCCCAGGAACATTATGTACCATCTTTCAATGCAGTACAGGTAGACAATACCTCAGGTAACTTGTGCTTTACTTGGCTGTCTTAAAAAGTACAAAGCTACAATAAAGAAAATCAAATTTAAAGAAGCAAAGCAAAAATATAACATACACTTGCTTTAGACTCCAAAATATCTGAATTGCTCTATATTTTAACTAGATAACCTACAAAACAACAGTAAACCCTAGGAGATGGGTGTTCATTTATGTTTATTTATGACTGTATCAAGACTAACCATTGGTAAAAACATAATGAACATATATTTTTGACAAAAATTTTGCCAGGATGATTCAAAAAAGAAAGAGAAAACACAGAGGAAGAAATCATGATGGAAAAAATACAACATACAAGTCTGTCAGTGATTAATAGAAGCTTATATATTCAAATAAGTCTAACATATCTATGGTCACTTTGATTCAATATGCTTATCTATAATTTTCAGAGCAGAACAAATATTTAAATATTTTCATTTCTAACGTTAACATGGCTTTGCAGATGTTTAACAGGTTGTTTTCTTATAGGAGATGTATTTAGTTGACAGAAATCTTCACATCCTATGGAGTTGGACACTGTCAGTTTCTGCTTAATTGTACACAACTTCTTCCTTTTAAAAATCTATTTTCAAAGCACAGTGCAAGAGAGGCAAAGAAGATTTTTTATCTAGGAAAAGTGTATATTCTATGGTTCTTTTGAAGAAACTTCCATCTCACTGGATTAACCCCTAAAACTTATGTGAAACCAAAATAAAGGAGGCAAATAATTCATACTTCTGAGAGCAAGCAAATGTAGGCGCCTTACCTAAAGTCCCTCAGTCAGTAAGCTCGGGAAAATGGGCGCTCACCCACTATTCCAGCATGTTCCCTGGGGAGAACTGGGCAACGTTTTCAAGCTACTAGACTTTCAGCTCATGCAAAATAGCACTTTTGGGAGCAGCAAAATGATCTAAGCTGGAAAGTCTTTTGTGGATGCTCTAGCATGGTGTCTCCTGAGTCAGCTCTAAGCCCACTGCTGAGACTCCAGGTCAGACCATCTGCACCTTCTGCCCTGACCTTCACCAGAGCTTCCTAACTGCCTTCAAATTCACTCTCTGTGAGCACATTAAACATGAGCATCTGATTACCTTCCTCTGACACAAATTGGGTCTTTCCACTCTTCTGGTGAAAAGCCTCTGAATATTTCCAATGTATACAAAATAAGATTAAACACTGACCTAGACTTCAAATCCTTCTTCTATTTAACTATAACTTAAGCATTATAGATAGATAGATAGACAGATATTTTGTATCTTCCATTTCACTGAGGTCCCTACATAGCCTGTTTCTTACAAAAAGCACAAGCACATATACACATATCATCCTCCATTTCAGGTCCCTGAATATGCTCTGAGCATGCACAGACTTTGATGCTTTGTGTTATCAGACTGCCCTTAAACTCCACAGCAGGTCTCTCATCCTGCACAGATCATCTGCATAAGCAGGCTAGCCAACTCATCTCAGTTACAGCAAATTTTACTTCCTTTTCAATCTCAAACCACTGTAAATATGCACCTCTTCAAACACATTCACTGCTTATCAGAAACTGCTTCTGTTCATCACTAGATTTTAATGGCTGGACTGTGTCTAATTTATTGGTATTTATCTTCCTCCCCTCATCAGCATTGTGCATGTTTTGCAGACAGTAGCGTTAAATTTGCTAAATTAAACTAAATAATACGTGATAAATAACATTATAGCACATGACAATTTTATGCCTAAATAAACTGTTTACTATGCCATTTCCCTGTTCAGTAACTACAAAATCTCAGCAAAGAATATTTTCATACTATTTTCCGATTACTTTTGTTCTGCACTTCTTCCATAAAATAAGCCTGTAATTACAAGGAAGCCTACCATGATCAAATACATACCGCAATAAGGAAGACTTGTGAACACATTCCTTAATCCACATTAAGACTGCTGTATAGTAATGACAGAGATTTTTGACACTGTTTTGTCCATAACTGCAAACAGTGGACTACTTAGCTATAAATTCTCTTATTTTACAGATGACACCTGAAGGTAAGAGCGGAATAGATGGACACAGCATCCATTGATTAAGTGTCAGAATAGCAAATAAAAGTTAATTGTATTTGAGTCTACACTTGTTCTCAGCTACAGCACAACGGCCCAGGTGGACAAGACTGGAATGATGAAAGAAGATGGAGAAACTATTTTGTATCCTTAGAAGTAAATTTATACAAAAATGCCTTACCAGAAATATTGCACAAGTGTACTCCTCGACAACTTTCTAAACAGTAGTATTTAATCTACACTGTAGAGCAGGGGTGACAAACTACAGCACATGTGCTACAGTGGGCACACGGAGCCCTCTGTCCCCACAGGAGCCAAGCTGCTCCAGCATCGCCCCTGCAGCTGGGCGTCAGAAAACGGTGCACCTGGGGCCATTCAGACGCTTGGAAAGGACTATGGGCACCAGGTGATGACGTCACAGCAGTGTGGACATTTGGTCTCTAACAGGTTCACCATCAATGCTATAGAGTGTTGTTATCAAATATTTTAAATCACAATAATTAGAAAGTATAATTTTTACTGACACTTAACATCATTTACTATATAAAGCTGTTAGTGAATTTAATCCTCAGAAAAACACTGAGGTATATACATATTTTGGAGACAAGGAAACACAAAAAAAAGATATTACTAATCTCTCCAAGATCATGGAGTTACAATACAAATTGGTATTATAATTTTGATTTAAAACGAGGCCTCTTTAAGTGGTAAGATTTATTTCCCAGCTACAAGCATGAATTCATGCAATTCAGGCAAAATTTCAACATCAGAATTGTTAAATTTAGATAAATATTTTATTGTTGTTTATAATATTATGAGGAGTATCTATGGAGACGATCTGTGACCATTTACTTGAAAATATTTTCTTTAAATTTCTATTAATATTGTTTTAATACATCTATCAGATGCTGTTGTGCATCGAATATAAAATGTTAATCATATTGGTGAACATTTATATTTCATATTTTTATTTACATGTTCTCCCAACATTTTCCAAAATCAGGAGGCTTGGGGAAGTTTTTCTTAAACTAAATAGTATTAACATTATTTGCTTTCTGCTTCTGATGACTTCTGACGCTTTTATATAAGTCATCTTTTTTTCTGGAGCGCATACTACCTAAGACTGTAAATCATCTCAGGGTGAAAGAAACAATGTGGCAGTTTCAAAGCTCAGATTTTGGATTGAAATCTGTGTTTCCCAAACACATGTGTACAATATAAGATCATCTGCATGAAAACAAGGGCATGTGGATCGCTGACTTGATGCGTTCTGAGTATAAAATCATTCTATTTGTTTGACCTTTCATGGTGAAACATTTTCTTATAGTTTGAATACTTTGTGTCGAATTAATTTTAAAACTCAAATATTATCTAACGTATCAGCTGACAATGAGAATAAAACACATTTATTTCTAACTCTTTTTATCTTCGTGTTATTTTGTTTCCCTAGTCTTCCAGGTTATTAAGATAGAATCCTGAAAAAAACCTATGTCGAAACTATTTGGACACAAAGATGCTTCCTTCTTCTTCTGGGGGTTGTTCTGAGATATTAAAAATTTAAGAATGACATTATAAAATCATGGTGCTGAAAAGGACTCCATAGGAGTATCCTTTCTGCAGCTTCCCCTCCTGCCACTCTGCACTGACGCTATCCACCTTGGCAATGAATTTCTCCACAGGAAAGAATTTACTTCCTCCTTTAGCAACCTGCTTTAGTTCATAAAAATGCGCTTTACACTAGGAAGATTTTTTTTTCCTTTGTTTCTGTTCAAAATATAAATTGTTACATTTGTCATTTATTATAATCTTCATTTTTAAGGTCAAAATATTACCTTTCACTTTACATTCAATTTCTGTCCTTGCTGAGGTCATGGGATCCGAAACACAGCACCAAAGGGCATTCTATATGTTCTCTTTAGCATCAGCGTACAGCAGCCTTCGAGAAAGTCACCTAAAGATTTCTGGTACCTTTAAAGGAAAAACACCTAACAAGTCACTATTTAGGTAGCTCTGTCCAGATGATTCACCAGCCTCTCCAAAGTGAGCACTGTGAACCAGTTTTCCTTCGGACCTGTGCGGATCTTGATGAGCAGCATCCTCACAGACAATCACCCTTAGAAGGGTAATTGCCATGTTATAAGGGCTAGAGCGGCAATTAAAAGAATTTCAAAATGTAAACACCTTAAAATGTGCCTGGCACGTAGTCAATGGTCAGTAAATGCTAGCGACTGCTCCTGCTGCCATTGCTACTTCTTCTACTGCTCAACTACTATTTATTATTCCTACACTGCTGTCACTCTGGCTGCTGGTACAGTGAAGACTTCTGCTGCTATTATCACCACTACTATTCTTTCACTATTGCTAATGCTGCTACTACTACTTCTGCTGTGGCTATTAATATTACTGCTATTTATACTCTGACAAATAGAACTTTCTTCCACCAAGCGGGCCACCCAGAAGTGAACCGGAATGCCTTCAACAATTAGGAATTGCCCCTCCTGACCCTCCCACCCTTAACTGTGCAGGTGAACTTGTTACTCCCAAAGATAAAGATATCACAGCAAACTTACTCAGACAAGGACCGTGGGTTTCCCGGCCCTTTACGCTTTTTGAAATCTTTCTGACAGTCTGCCATTTTGTAAGACCTACATTCATTTTCTCCATTAGCATCAATAATTGAACGGTTGTCTAACAGAAAGATCTTTCAATATTATATAATCTTTACCAACTCCACTAATGGGTTAAAAGATGGATGCCACACAAGTATAAAAAATTATAGGGCCAAACCAACTATTAAATTGCTTTAAAAAGTCTATAATGAGAAACAGTCTAGTTTTTCCTCTGTAACTTTATGTCAAAGGACTTTTTGAAAATAATTAATTTTTCATAACGGCTTATACTGTTAAAGTTCCCATAATTATTTTTAATATATATTCCTCATGCAAACACCCATGGGAATATAGGCCACTCATCGGACATTTTTCACAGATGAAGAATCTCAAGTATGGAGATGAAGCAATTTAATAATGGGTCAAAATGTGATTCAATTTTACAGCCCGAGTTACTAGGATATTAAGTCAGCTGAAGCCTGCCTGCCTCAGAAAGAGAAAAATAATAAAAGAGCATCTAGATTTATAAAGGAATAAACTGGATTGTAAACCAAGTTAGAAGCCTGTTTCCAGGGACTACAGACCATACTTCAGTACACAAGCAGAGATAAACACACACGAAACAAACGTCAACCTCTCTGTCCTAATTCGCTGTGAACCAGTCTGATTTACTTTACAGCAGATGTCACAGCCAATGCGACTTCCTCTCCTCTGCTGTGAGATGACTTGTCTGTTGTTTCTGATGCAGCCTGCCCAGGGCGCCTTTTCCACTGGGCTAATTCTGAAGAACACAGATTGGCCGTCTCAGAAAGTAATACTGCCAGTGGTGTGCATTCTGATGGCCCTGTCACAACATCAAAAGTGACTACGCAGATATAGTAACACCAGTGCTCTGATGATACAAATACAAAATTCAAATTCATGTGGGCACTACTAGTTTAAAATATAGGTCAATATCATTATACGTTTTCCCACAGCCGAACAATGTACACCATCAAGAGGGAACCCTGGCGTAAACCATGGATTCTGGGTGGTAGTGATGTCAGTGTAGGCCACGGATTGTAGCAAGTTTATCAGTCTGGTGAGGGAAGTTAATGGGTGAGTCCATGCATGTGGATGGGCAGGAACCACACACGGAATCTTTCTACCTTCCCTTTTACTTTGCTGTGAACCCAGGAGTTCTTTGAAAAATAAAGTCTACTAAAAATACAGAAAAACCTGGCCCAAATTCCTTACAACCGTATCGTTTTTATTGGCAATGTCTGGCATAATAATAATTTATTGTTAAACAGGAAATGCTTAACAACATAACAAAGTGGCTAGACTTGGCACATCTCTTGATAGAAAATTTTTATTGAGTGTAAGTGAATCACGAAATTACCAAACAAAATGTTTTACCTGCTTTTGCATAAACTGCTGTTATGGTTGATACATTGTGTCAACTTGGGGAGTCTAGAGGTTTGGCTAAGTGACTCAGCAGGAAGCCAGGGTGCTTACTTTGTATATATCCTGAGCCTGTGGAAGAGGAGGGCATGGAGATTATGTGAGAGCTACACGCCCCTTAGGTGGTGGTAGCCTGTTTACGATGTAAGGCAAGAAAGAAGCTGCTTGCCGCCATTCCTCCGGTTCGCTCTGGCTGTTTGCTATTCGGCTGCCATTCCCCCCTTTGCTCTTGTTGGTTTGCTACCTTCTGCCTCGGAGCCAGCCAAGTATGGACTGAAACCTCCACAAACTGTGAGCTAAATAAACCTTTCCTTCCTTCATTTTTGGCATTGGGTATTTTGTCTCAGCAACAACAGAAAAGTAACCAAGACAACTGCCAATTTCAAACCTATAATGAGGATGTTTGGTAAAGTTTCTGAAGCATTACTTCTTTGTGTCTGTCTGTTTGTTTTTAATCTTTTGAGACAGGGTTTCACTATGAACTTCAGGCTGGCCTTGAACTCACTTTGTGGCCTCGAACTCAAAGAAATCCTCCAGCGTCAGCCTCCCGAGTTCTGGGATTACAGATATGTGCCACCATGAGCATCCCTAAAACATTAACAGTCAATGCTGTTCCTTTATTTTTCTTTTCAAGTAGTGGTTCTCAGTTGTGGCTATGTATTAAAATCAAATCCACAGCTTTTTAACAATACTGATGCCTGGGGCCCTGGATCTAGGGATTCTTATTTAATTTTCTAAAGTGAGACACCCTTGCTAGTATTTTTTAAAATGTCCAAGACGATTATAAGGTAGAGTCTACACCACCGCTTTACAGACAATCATTATTTTTGTTTAGGGCACTTAGGTCACCCGGTCATATCCAATGATGAGAACGATCAGGGTTAATGAAAGGGTTATAATACGGGACTGGTAACTTCACTGAAATTCTCCTCACTACTAGGAAGAATGTCCTCCAAAAGATTGGAATGACTTTTCAAAAATTATACACACAGTGAGTCCTATGAAAACAAAGACTATACCTGTCTTGGTAACTACTATATTTTTAGATGTAGTTCTATGCTGACACCATAGTGGACACTCAATGAAAAATCACAGGATGAATGAATGAGCAGACAACGGCACTAAGACCAATCACGAGTTCACTGAAAAACAAAAGACTCCTTATGACAAATACATCCAAAGGTTATCTTCCTTACTGTATTCTCATCTGCACTCAACTTCTAAGGGAAACACAGGGGCCATGTAATTCTTACAGTACATTTTATATACTTTTCTTCAATAAGTTTTTACCTTTAATAGGAATTTATAATAACAGCACTCCTTTTTGAGTGCCCCT